TGGTTTGGGGCCACATGGAATTGGTGGGTCAAGCCAAATAGCTCGGAGTCAGGCAGGACACTCATAAATGCAGACTAGACAGAACTGCTTCTCTAGACAGAATGGAGGGGCATGTATTTGAAGATTTGCAATAACTGAGACTGCATAAAAGAAAGGAACTTAATGAATCCTAGAAACAATTAGGAATATACCTCTTCTCTTTGGGTAGTCATGTGGGGTAGCAATGTTGGCCCAGTACCAAGAGGTGAGGGGAGAATTGTCAATAAAAATGCTTTGGCTGTTCCTTTAAGATGAAGTTGATTTTTCAATCTACCATCTGGGAGCCCCAAACAGAAATTATATAAATAATGTCTGCAGTTGTGAACATCAAATAGATGCTGAAAGAGCATTATAAGCTGAAAAGATGCATCAATATGTAAGGCATTATTATTATTTGCTCACCCAAGTGGAGGTATGTCCTATGGGATGGAGAATTGAGACAACTGAGGTAAACATTCCATAAATATGTGACAAATGGACTTTGTCAAATTTGCAATATACTTATGGAAAATACTAATACGAAAGTGGAGGCAAAATAACTCAAATAATTCTAGAATGAGGGTTCATGACCATCTATGGGTGGTGGACTTGAAGGTCTCATGAAAGTCATGGCTCTTCTCAGAAAATTATACAAAATATTCCTGGAATTACATACATTGTACCTATTTAGTAATCTCTCATCAACCACCCCCTCCCACCTTCTCACTTTTCTGTCTCCATTGTCTATCATCCCACTCTATGTCCATGTGTACATAGAATTTTGCTCCCACTGAGAAGTAACAACATGTAGTATTTGTCTATGTCTGACTTGTTTCATTTAAGATAACAGCCTCCAGTTCTATCATGTTGCTGTAAAAGACATGATTTCATTCTTTTTATGGTTGAATAGTATTCGATTGTATATATATATACACCACATTTTCTTTATCCAATCATCCATTGATGGACATTTAGATTGATTCCATATCTTTGCTATTGGGAATAGTGCTGAGATAAACTTATGGGTGTGGGTATCTTTTTTGTAGAGATAGGGAGAGTCTTGCTCTGTCACCCAGGCTGGAGTGCAGTGGCACAATCATAGCTCAGTGTAACCTTGAACTACTAGGCTTAAGCAATCCTCCCCCCTCAGCCTCCCAAGTACCTAGGACTATAGGTTCACACCACCACACTCAGCTAATTTTTAAATTTTTTTAGAGATGGGTCTCACTGTGTTGTTCAGGCTGGCCTCAAATTCCTAGCCTCAAATGGTCTTCCCACCTCAGCCTTCCAGAGCGTTGGGATTACAGGTGTGAGCCACTTCACCTGGCCTGGGTATGGGTATCTTTTTGATATGATTTCTTTTGGGTAGATGATGTCCAGTAGTAGAATTGCTGGATGGAATGGTAGTTCTATTTTTAGTTCTTTGAGAAATATCCATATTGATTTCCAAAGAAATTATACAGTATATATTTTTTTCTCTGTCACCCCGGCTAGAGTGCAGTGGCATCACCATAACTTACTGCAAACTCAAGCTCCTGGGCTCAAGCAATCTTCCTGCCTTGGCCTCCCAAAGATAGGAGCCACCTTGCCTGGCCCCCTCTTCCTCTTTTAATGGCACTTGTGATTACATCAGGCCTATGCAAATAATCCCGAATAATCTGTTTTAGTGTCAGCTGGTTCACACCCTTAATTCCTGTGCCATACAACATCGCATATTCACAGGATCTGAAGGCCTGGTTAAGAGTGACACTAACAAAAGCAGCAAAGCCAAGAGTGAAGAGAGAGACCAAATCTTGATAACATTGTTGGAGTCCTTGGATTCAGCTGTGGCTAAACCAGAAACACCTCTGGACTCTTCAGTTACATGAACCTTTTCCTCTTAAGTCAGTTTGAGTTGGGTCCTCCAACTTGAAACTAAGAGTCTTGATTGTTACATATGAGAGCATATGTTATATTTGATATTGAATAAATTTAAATTATTTTTGTTTTAATGGCAATAAGTAATGAGTGATACTCAAGTAATGATGGATGTAAGAAAATTAAGAAACACATCAAATTTCAATTTCCAGTAATGGTAAACTACGTCATTTGGACTACTTTCCTACTAAAGAAAACTGAAAACTTTGGACATATATATTTTTTTCTTAAAAAGCATTAAATTGCTAACAAGATAGTGATTATTAGTAATTACTAATCCAAGATCAAAGAGAGGGTGGAAATCTAGAGATGGGTTTAATAGCAGATTATTCTAAATATCCACCAGGGTGTTTTCCAGTCCTGAAAAGGTAGCTGAGAAATGAGCTATGCTTTGGCAGCCCTGTGGTTAGGGAGATTACAGTGGGAATACAGGTCACCAAGGTAAGCACAGTAAACTGACTGTGGAAGGCTGGTTGTTCCCTAGGAAGAAGGTAAATAAGAAACAATTTATACTTTAGCACAGGCTGCATCTTGGCTTTGCATCTTAGCCTGGGTGATTCAGAAAATCTTAAGGCTAGAAATTGAATTAAGGTGATTCTGAATGTTTACTGCCTCCAGGCACCTACTAGAAGAAAAACAATCCTCTTTAGAGGACAATATCATCCTAGGCCTCAAATTATTTCCTCACATAGAAGTATGAGGCATACTGTCAAATGTAATCAGACACCAAAGAGAGAAGAGATCATGAGAATTAACAGAAATCATGAATAGAAACAGACCTACAAGGACTCTAAACATTAGAATCAGACATAGTCTATAAAGCAACAATGCTTACTCTGTTAAAGGAGATAAATGCCAAATTTGAAATTTTCAGCAGGGAACTGGAAACTATTAAAAAGTAACATGAAAATTTTGAAAAGAATCAAATAGAAATTCTAGACCTAAAAAATGCAATAGTCTGGGTGTGGTGGCTCATGCCTATAATCCTAGCACTTTGAAAAATTGAGGCAGGAGGACTGCTTGAGGTCAAGAGTTTAAGACCAGCCTGTGCAATAGTGAGACCCTATCTCTACAAAAAATAAAAAATTTAGCCAGCCGCAGTGGTACATGCCTATAGTCCCAGCTACTGAGGCTGAAGCAAGAGGATTGCTTGAGCCAGGAGTTTAAGATTGTAGCGAGCTATTATAATGCCACTGCACTCTAGCCTGGGAAACAGGGTGAGACCCAGTCTTAAAAAAAATGCAATAATTGAAATTAAGAAAATGGGCAATTGCATTATTTCAGGATGGGGAAAAAAAAAAAAAAAAAAAAAAAATAAAAAAAAAAAAGAAAATGGGCAGGTTTAAAAGTAGATTAGACATAGCTGCAGAGAAAAATCAGTAAATTATGAGGGATGGCAGAAGAAACAATTCAGTATGTAGCCATGATAGACAAAAAGATGGAAAAGAGAAGAGGGAAAGAAATATAGAAGATACAGTGAGATGGGCTAGCTAATAGATAATTGGAGTCCCAGAAAAATAAAGAATGGGGAGAGGCAATATTTGCATAGATAATGGTGAAGAATTTTCCAGAATTAATAAAAAGAAATCAATCCATATTCAAAAACCCCAGTGAATGCCAAGCAAAGTAAAAAGAAATCCACACTTAGACACATAATAACATCACAGAATACCAAAAAAACAAAGAAAAAGCTTTTAGGAAAAGATACTTGGAGAAATAACATTAGTTTCAAAGGAACAACTGACAGCTGACTGACTTCTCAACAGCAAAAGCAGAGCCCAGAAATTCTTTCTCAGAAAACTGCCAATATACAATTCTATAAAAGTAAGACAATCCAACATAAATTCTCAAACATAGGGAAAACAGAAGAGAAGAAAACATCAACAAATTTTAAAAGTTAGAAAGCAGATGGACAAGTAGAAAGTGGTTAACAGACCTAAGGGAGTGGAATCCTAAGCTAGCAGTAAGAAAAATTGAGAAGCCATAACCTACACAGCAAAATCTTCACAAGGCTCAGAAACTGAGAGCATCAAATATTTCCACAGCTGGGGGTGAATGAGTGCTGGCTAAAACAAAAAGGACTGGTTGCAAGTGACTTAGGAAACAATTAAATCCCTAGATGCTTCTCTCCTGCCGATCACTGGATGGCTGCCTTTCCCCCATCACAGCAGAAACTCTTTACCCAGGAGAAGATACAACAGAGGATCTGTGGACTTGGGGAGACTCAGAAAGCTTATGCGTAGTGAATTTTCAATATGGATATCCTTAGCTCTCCTTCTCCACTCAGCTCCTAGAACCAGATAGACTTTTACCCCTCAAGAAAGAGGTTAGACGACTCTCCTCTGTGGCAGAAATAAAAAAGTTAATGGGAAATTTAGAATGTTGGTGAAATCACCCCAAAAGTAGAGAAAAACAAAATAAAAATAAAAAACCAGGACAGGCGTGGTGGCTCACACCTGTAATCCTAGCACTCTGGGAGGCCAACGTGGGCAGATCACTCAAGGTCAGGAGTTTGAGACCAGCCTGAGCAAGAGCAAGACCCCATCTCTACTAAAAATAGAAAGAAATTAATCGGCCAACTAAAAACATATACCAAAAATTAGCTGGGCATGGTGATGCGTGCTTGAGCCCAGGAGTTTGAGGTTGCTGTGAGCTAGGCTGATGCCATGGCACTCTAGCCTGGGCAACTGAGTGAGACTCTGTCTCAAAAAATAAGTAAATAAATAAATAAAACCAAAGAAAAACCCAACTACATCATAGGCACTTGAGATTTACAGTATATTATAATTATAACCATGCTATATAACATTATTATGATATAAATTACTTATTCTCATGTTATTGTATTAATATAAATACTATGTGCTGCTGAGAGCACAAATCCTGCCTGGTATTTGAGTGTGATGTACATGTATTGCAGTGATGAACTGATTAGTACAATTTTGAGAGAGCAGAGAAGTGTCAATTTAAAGAAAACTAGGGGAGGAAGACTGTCATCCTTTAATTAATAACACTTTGAGAACATTAAAGAACATTAAACATATTTGTGGATAGATAAGCTTTATTTGAATATCTGCACAAATAATAAGTTCTCATCAAACAGGAAGAGGTTTTCCAAAGGCTTAAAATTCATTAAATAGAACTTGGTGGGTCCCTTTAGTCTGTGTCTGAACTCAGCTGACTGCCACATCATTATTAGTAGTGTGCCCTCACTAATCATTTTCACCACACACAGATCTCAAATCTTTGGGTGGTACTTCTCATTTCTCTGGAAATGTCTTAAATTGCTCTCAGTTACGACAGAAGGGCAAAGTTTTTATCTGCAGAAACTCTATCAGAGGCAAAACTGCATCCTTAAATTCTTATTTAAATTGTCACTGTTTGCAAATGGGGTACAAATGAAGAACTTAATGTTTACATACAAAAAATATAGTATAATCTTTGCTATTGCAGTAACTTCCTTTTAATTTTTTCATTAAAAAATTATTTTTATTATCACTCCACAAAGAGGCTATAAAAACACCTATAAAAACATTGAAAAGTCACTTTAAAATCCTAGACTGATATACCTTCTGTGATTTGCAAGTGAGAATAAAATGTTAGATTCCACATTTAGAATGTAGTTAGAAATTCTGAATGATTTTGATAGGAATTACTAGAAGGAACGAGAACATCAAACCATAAAGATTTTCCATTTAACTCCAATTAAGTTTTTGAAAAGTTACATGTTTGTGGACAAGCACAGCTCACTCAGGAACTTGATGCTGCCACTAATGATGAAGTTGACCTGACCTGAAAGGCAGAGATCTGTATGCTAGACATGCTGGGCCCTTCCATGCAACTGATCAAAGTGGTCTTCTCTTATTTTTCCCTTATGTTTAAAATAAAAATACAAATGGTAAAAGATGTAAATTGTACAAAAGGATCTAAAATAATAAGTAAACTTCATTTTCTCCCATAACATAGTACATTTGATATCTTCAAAATCCTTAAATAGTCATATGAGTAACTCACAAACTAAAGTCAACCTCGGAATCTCTTTATCTAAAAATAATTTTCAGGCCTTTGGAACTGTGTTGATTGTTTCATATATTACCTCTGTTACAGAGGAAAGTCATGCTGTCTTCTCCTTCTTAAAGAAAAAAAATTTTAAAAGCAACATGCACACAGTGCTCAGAGATAGCAAAGTCCAGGCAGGATCTCAGACTCCATTGGATCTAGCTGTGGCTCCAGAGAGTCCCTTGCATCATCCCTGAAATTTAGGAAGCACATTTATTAACAAGCCATTTTCAAAAGTATGAAAGCATTCTCTTAATCAAAATGAGGTCATCTCGTGAATGGAGAGGCTTAACTCTCTCAGAAGTTCAGGTCATCTGGTCATTGCTAATAGAAAAATATCTTAATCTAATATTGTACAAAAAGGCATGAGCGATATAGTCCCAAGCAGTAAAGTTAAAACTAGGTCAATCTTTACTAGAGAACAAAGAAAAGGTGAGCTGGCAAGGGACCAAAGATGGAGAAGGGAAATTCCCTCAGAAAAATGCCAACTCCAAGCGAGGAGAAGCTGGGAGGTTTTCCCCAAAGCACACTTACTCCCTAAGTGAGAAGAAGACTTACAGAAACACCGGCGTAGGAGCTCAGCCGAGCCCTTCCTGAATGCCTCGGATCCTCCTGGCCAGCTGCACATCCTTTGGGAAAAGAGTAACTCGGCCAGCATGTAGAGTGAGGAGATAAGCATCTTCAAAGAGATGAACTAGAAATGCTTCTGCAGCCTGGGGACAGAGAGAGGAAAAAGACTGACACCCAGGAAGGGGCACCAGCTAATTTTTCTTAGAGACCTGCTAATCTCCAAGGGTTCAAAGGACTGTAGGAAAGATTATTCAAAGAATGGGACTTAACTTGGCCTGGGAATTCTGCTACCACCACCCAGAATCCAGCCTCCAAACCCTCAGGTGTTACCTTGGTGCTCTTTTCAAGGAGGCCAAATTCAGCATGTGACAGTCCAGTTAGGCACATAGAGTTCCAGATTGCCTCCTTCTCCCATGCTCAGCCCTCACCCAGTTATGCGTTGGCCCCTTCTCACCTCTTGTAGGGCCAGCAGGGCCTGGGCTTGCCAACTGAAGTCCACACCACGAGTGAATTTAGCACATACTTCTCTTGCCTGTGAAGGAGTGGGGATGGGGAGGAGCATAACAGAACAGAGATTCAAGGGAAGGTGGACCTTCTCCATGAGTTTCAATGACTCTTCATTTCCGTTATTCCTTCCTAGCCCCGAATCTTAGGACCTACCTAAGAGGAGGTGTTGACTTAGGAACTGGTATATCTCTTATTGGTGGTGGGGAGATGAGGAGGCAATCTCCCAGGGTAGGAAAGGGGACCAGAGGGTGCATGAATGAAAGGATTTCTATTTTTACAGTCAAATAATACAATTTCTTTCTTTCTTTTTTTGGGACACAGTCTTGCTTTGTTGCTCAGGCTAGAGTGAGTGCCGTGGCGTCAGCCTAGCTCACAGCAACCTCAATCTCCTGGGCTCAAGCGATCCTACTGCCTCAGCCTCCTGAGTAGCTGGGACTACAGGCACGTGCCGCCATGCCTGGCTAATTTTTTGCACACACACATATATATATACTTTTTTTTTTTTAGTTGGTCAATTAATTTCTATTTTTTAGAGATGGGGTCTTGCCTGCTCAGGCTGGTTTCGAACTCCTGACCTTGAGCAATCCTCCCGCCTCAGCCTCCCAGAGTGTTAGGACTACAGGCGTGAGCTACCGCACCCAGCCAAATAATACAATTTCAAAGGTAGTAAGGGTTAGAAATTAATTCCATGAAGAATTACAAGGTGCCTTGGAGGGCTCATGTTTTTAGAAGATGAAGTCCTCTACTAGGTTAGAGAAGAAGTTCTTCAAGCATTTAGGTAAGAGACAGTTGGGTCCCCAATTCCTGGGAAATTTAAAGGAAGGTGACATAGGGGTTGGTGGGATGGTCCCTGGAGCTTACCACTCGGCTGAAGGGGGCCTTCCTTAATAAGAGGTGTGTGCTCTTCTGAAGTTTTCGGATCTCCCGTAACCACCCAAATTTCCTCTGACGATGTTGGCGGGGGGAAGGGCCTGAGCAAAAGATTTGGGTCATAAAGGGAAAGTGAATGGAGAAGACCCCAAAGGCAATCACAGCAACAACAAAAATAAATAAATGGGATCTGATCAAATTAAAAGCTTCTGCACAACCAAGGAAACTATCAGGAGAGCAAACAGAGAACCTACAGAATGGGAGAAAATACTCGCATGCTACACAACCAATAAAGGGCTGATAACTAGAATCTATAGAGAACTCAGGAAAATCAGCAAGAAAAATCAAACAACCCCATTAAAAAGTGGGCAAAGGACATAAACAGAAACTTTTCAAAAGAAGACAAATTGCCAAGAAACATATGAAAAAAGGCTCAACATCTTTAATCATCAGGGAACTGCAAATCAAAACCACAATGAGATATCACTTAACACCAGTGAAAGTGGCTTTTATCAAAAAGTCTCAAAACAGGCCAGGCGGCATGGCTCAAGCCTATAATCCTAGCACTCTGGGAGGCGAGGGGTATTGCTCGAGTCGAGATTTGAAACCAGCCTGAGCAAGACGAGACCCCGTCTCTACTATATATGAAAAAATTAATGGCCAACTAATTATATAAAAAAATTCTCCGGCATGGCGCATCCTATAGCCAGCTACTTGGGCTGAGGCTGCAGATTCTTGAGCCCAGAGTTGAGGCTGTGGACTAGGCTGAACGGCAACTCAACTCGTCTACTGCTGGCAACAAAGCGAGACTCTGTCTCAAAAAAAAAAAAAAAAAAACCAAACAGTAAATTGCATGTGTGAACTGGACTGCAAACTAGTACAACCTCTGTGAAAAGTAATATGGAGATACCTCAAAGAGCTACAAGTAGAACTACCATTTGATCCAGCAATTCCATTACTAGGCATCTATCCGAAGGAAAAAAAGACATTCTATAAAAAAGACATCTGCACTAGAATGTTTATAGCAGCACAATTCACAATTACAAAGATGTGGAAACAACCCAAGTGCCCATCAATACATGAGTGGATTAATAAAATGTGGCATATGTATATCATGGAGTTCTACTCAGCCACAAAAAACAATGGTGATTCAGTACTTCTTGTATCATCCTGGATAGAGCTGGAGCCCATTCTATTAAGTGAAGCATCACAAGAATGGAGAAACAAGCACCACAAGTACTCCCCATCAAATTGGTATTAACAGATCAACACATAGGTGCACATATAGTAGTAACATTCATTGGGTGACAGGTAGGTGGGGGAGGAGGGGATGGGTATATTCACATCTAATGGGTGTGGTGTGCACCATCTGGGGGATGGACACACTGGAAGCTCTGACTTGAGTGGGGCAAAGGCAATATATGTAACCCAAACATTTGTACCTCTGTAATATGATGTAGTAAAAAAAAGGGAAAGTGAGTGGAAAATAGGTGGTGCCTCCTAGCTTGGGTGAGACAGGCAAACTGTTAAATCCCTACACTCTAACCACATGTAACTACACTCCACAGAGCAAGATTTTTGTCTATTTTATTCACTATAACCTTCAACTAGAAATTAGTAGATAGGCGTTAAATAAATCAATGAATGAATGATCCTTTTTTTTTCTTCTTTAAATATCATGCTTTTTTAAAAATTATTTCAGCATATTATGAGGGTACAAATGTTTGGGTTATGTGTGTTGCCTTTTACCCCCTCCCCTCTCCCCATGAATAATCCTTTGAGGTTTATTTTAAATAATAACTCTTCCATAAAGCCTTTCCTGAATTCTGATTCCTTTCAAACAGATGGGTCCCCTCCCTCCTCTGGCCCCCACAGTACTTTGTGCATCTCTTACTTCTTTCTCATCTATATTGGAAACTCGGTTATTTTGTTTTTAGGGTTTTGTTTTGTTTGTTTTTTTTATAGCTAGAAGGAATCTGATAAATTATCTAGTATAATTCCCTTGTCTTGATTATCCTGAGGCCCAAGGAGGTGAAGACAGTTGGCCAGAGCTCATTAGTGCCCAACTGAGACTCCAGGAGTGGCCTAACTCAGTGCTAGTGTCAGGCACTTGGGCTGTGGAATCAGAGACTTTGGATCAAACCTTAGTTCCAACAATAAAAAAGAAAAAAAATCTTAAAAACATTCCCAAAAGTCAAAACAGAAAAGCCAAATTCTGTAATCAGAAATTTAAAACACTAGAATACAAAAAAATTTCTACTTAACCCTTGTATTGAGGAAAAAACTGGAATTTGACTATTTAAAAATGAGTATTCAGTCCAAAAACTTTGCTAAAAAAAAAGAAAAAAAAATAAAAATGAGTAACAACAGAAAGTCTACATCTCAAACTTATGAGAGATAGCCAAAATAGTACTAGAGGAAAAGTGCTTTAAACCGTACCTATTAGAATACAAGGACATTAAAAGACAGCTGAACTAAGCATTTACCTAAAGAGTTAAAAGAAAGTTAGTAAAATAAACCAAAACAAGTTAGAGCAAAAGAAATATTAAAGATAATAAATTAGGGTAAATGAAAGTTAAAGAAAAAGTAGTATATAATAGCTTGATAAATACAACAAAGGGTCAATAAAAATGAATGAATCTCTGATAAGTTGAACAAAAAAATTAAAAAAAGAAAAAACATATTAAAAACATTTTGGGGTGGGAGGGGGGAGGAGGGGATGGGTATATACAAACAATGAGTGAGATGTGCAATGTTTGGGGGATGGACACGCTTGAAGCTCTTGCTCGAGGGGGCAGGGGGGCATGGGCAATATATGTAACCTTAACACTTGTACCCCAATAATGCGCTAAAAGAAAAAAAAAGAAAAAAAAATACATGTTGAAGGATAAAATTAGCTTCAGAAATGTTATTCAAGGACCAGCCAAGAAAAGAGAATCCGCACCAACTAGCTCAATAGAAAGGGTTAAATACAGTGAACCGATTACAAGAGCTACAAGAGTGAATAGGGGAAGGTGAGGCAATCCAGAAATGGCCTGTGCCAGGCAGCTGGCAGTGGGTGAGGTTGGGGGACATGGGCCAAATAGGGCAGTGTCCGAGGGACTGGCTGGTGACATTTAAGAGAAAGCAGAAGGACCATATCCAGGAGATAAGCTACTGACACCTCCCTACCTCCCCATCCACCACCAGTTGCAATCCCCAGTCGCTGGAGGCAGCCTTTAATAAACACATGCAGCAGTCACGGAAAATGTAAAGGTGAGCACAACTAAAGATCAAAAAATTTAAGAAGGCCAACACTCTAAAAGAAAGGAACCAAACTCAACAAGTAAAATAACCAATACCAAAGGAATTTGAGTTAATAGAGAAAAAAGGAGCTTTGGGAGAAATATAGATAATAACTTCTTCAGAGTGGTAAGAGAGATATGAAGTCCACGACCCAACAAGTAGTTATGAAAAGTAATCAATTAGAGAGATCATGGAAAAGAACTAGGATTAAAAATTCAATAGTTGAGGCCGGGCGTGGTGGCTCACGCCTGTAATCCTAGCACTTTGGGAGGCCGAGGCGGGCGGATTGCTCAAGGTCAGGAGTTCGAAACCAGCCTGAGCGAGACCCCGTCTCTACCAAAAATAGAAATAAATTAATTGACCAACTAAAAATATATATACAAAAAATTAGCCGGGCATGGTGGCGCATGCCTGTAGTCCCAGCTACTCGGGAGGCTGAGGCAGTAGGATCGCTGAGCCCCGGAGATTGAGGTTGCTGTGAGCCAGGCTGACACCACGGCACTCACTCTAGCCTGGGCAACAAAGTGAGACTCTGTCTCAAAAAAAAAAAAAAAAAAAAAAAAAAAAAATTCAATAGTTGAGTATTGAAATGCCAACACAAGGAGAATTTAGGATTAAATCCCAATTTAATCCTAAAGTAATGGGAAGCCAGGGCAGTAAGCAGGATAGAGGGGATCCATTTACTGGATTACTCCAGCTGCTTGTAAGGAAAGAACTAGAAAGAGACAAAAGTGGAAGTGGAATAGTGGCTGGTTAGTAGGCTCCTGCAGCCACTCTTACGGGAGATGCTGGAGGCTTGGACTAGGTTGGTAGGAGAGGAGATAGTGACATGTGGAGGGATTAAGGATAGAATTGGAGGTAGAATTGCTTGAACTTTGCATTTGGATTGGATATGTGAATATGAGAAAAGAATGTATCCCAGGTTCTTGGCTTAAACAACTGGGTGGGTGGTTGTGCTATTTACTGAAATGGGGGAAATGGGGCCTGCGTGCGATGGCTCATGCCTGTAATCCTAGCACTTTGGGAAGCTGATGCAGGAGGATCGCTTGAGGTCAGGAGTTTGAGACCAGCCCCAGCAAGAGCAAGATCCTGTCTCTACAAAATATAGAAAAATTAGCCAGGTGTGGTGGTGTGTGCCTGTAGTCTCAGCTACTCAGGAGACTGAGGCAGGAGGATTGTTTGATCCTAGGAGTTTGAGGTTGCAGTGAGCTATGACACCACTGCACTCTAGCCAGGGTGACAGAGCAAGACTCTGTCTCAAAAAAAAAAAAAAAAATCCAACTGAAAGACTATTAGGATTAATGAGAATTCAGCAAGTTGGTTGGATGCAAAGGTTAAATCCTTAGGCTTTCAGAAAGAAAACAATCCATTCACAGCAGCAACATCTAAAAACAACCTACATACACTTTTTTTCACCCTGCTCTTAGCTACATAGCAACAGAGTCAGAAGACAAGTGAAGCAGCGGTTGCCACCATGTACCTCACAGGCACCTGACACTTCCTGTCCTTGGGCCTCCCATCCACCAGCCCACAATACAGACACTGAGGACCACAGACTCTGTCCCTTTCCAGAGACACAACCTCCAGAATGGAACAGGGTGAGCAGTGCCCTGAGGGCCCTTGTCCAAGGACCAATAAAGCCACTCACTGAAGGAAAAAAAACCCTGAATGACACTTCCTAAGAGTAGGATTGTTGTTTGAAATCGTCACAAAAAGCAGACAATACTTTTGCAATTTAGAAAAGCACAAACACATTTAAAAATCTTGTGCCTGCCAGAACAAGTTGTGTGACTTTGCTCAAGTTCCCTGGCCTGCCTGGGCCTCAATTTTCGCATCTGCTGCAAATGGGCAGGATATAAAGTTGAGATGATGCACAAATAGTGTCACACAATGCCTAGTTATGGTAAGCGCAGGAGGAGCTGGTGTTGGGAGCCAGGCTGCCTCGGCCGGCCCTTTCGCCCTTTCGGAACTGCCTGCTCCAGTCCCTCGCTGGGCTCGGCACGAAGCAGTGCCCTGAGCAGATACTGGACGGCGGAACCGCTTTGTCCCTGGCATAGGAGGGTCACGGGGCCGGGAGTCAGGGGTTCGGGCTCTACAAGCAAGCCTCGGTCTTCCGGTATGTGAAGCGGGGATGCAGGGCCTGTCGTGCTCCCAGGCAGGCGGCAGAAGCGGGGCAGGCAGCTCCCAGGCAGGCGGCTCGGAGGGGCAAGTGCGCAGCGCTTACCTACGGAGGGGCCCCGCCGCGCGGGGCCGGGGGTCGCGCTCTCATCGCGCCTCCTCGGGGTCTCGGGCTTGCGCCTCCGGCGCGGTCCCATGGCGGGCCGCAGAGGGTCCCGGCGACCAGCCCCACCGCTCCGAGAGCTCTGACTTCTGAGTCTGGGAGAGAAAGGCTGACGTAGGGGCGAATCCCGGACGGGCCCGCCGCCTTCAGTAGCACCTAGCGTTCAAATCGCCCGCCCCGCCTACTTCTCCGTCGGCGTTTTTTAAATCTGGAGTCCAGAGACTCTCAGTGGCCGGCTCTGAAACGCCCCTGGCGTAGAGCGACGGCGGGGAGGACCAATGAGAGTACGGGCCGGGAGACCAAATTGCTGCGGTGATAGGAGGACAGCAGGACTTACAGTAGAGTCAGCCAATGGGCATTTGAGGAAGTGAAAAGGGCGGGGGTTTCTTCTGCCCTTTAGTTGTTTGTCCGGGTGCGGGTCTTTTGAGCGACTGGACTGAAGTCCTCGAGTTCCCTCTGTTCAAAAGAGGAAGGCTAAATTCAGCACCCAGATGGTTCTGTAGACAGATCACTTTCCTCAAACATTTTATATTTTGCCGTGTCAACACTGAGGTGCGGATCGAGCCCCTGGGGCGCCGCGGGTAGGTCTGTGGCGGTGGGAGTGCAGTCCGTGGGAGTTTCTGCCTGTGGTTGGAAGTGACCGAGTGAGCAGGTGACCTCCGCTGTGTGCGCGGGGATCGTTGTGCCGGTGTGCGGCGTTTGGATCTGGCTGCGTGGGTCCTTGAGTGTGTGTGACTGGGACCGTTTAGCAGAGATACACACTTGTGTGACTGTGTAAGTGTCCGTGTGAGGAACTTTGTCGTCCGTGAGATCACCATTTCCGCCGAGCGACTAGTCATTTGACCAGAATATTCGGAAGCTTAAAGTTTGTGTGGGCCGGGCGTGGTGGCTCAGGCCTGGAGTCCTAGCGCTCTGGGAGGCCCATGCGGGCGGATTGCTCGAGGTCAGGAGTTCAAAACCAGCCTGAGCGAGAGCGTGACCCCGTCTCTACTATAAATAGAAAAAAATTAATTGGTCAACTAATATATATAGAAAAAGTTAGCCGGGCATGGTGGCGCATGCCTGTAGTCCCAGCTACTCGGGAGGCTGAGGCAGCAGGATTGCTTGAGCCCAGGAGTTTGAGGTTGCTGTGAGCTAGGCTGACGCCATGGCACTCACTCTAGCCTGGGCAACAAAGACTCTGTCTTAAAAAAAAAGAGTTTGTGTCGTAACTAAATTTAAGCATTATGTCTATGGGGAAATAAATGTGGATTGTGAAGGACAAAAAACAAACCAAACAAACAAACAAAAAACACTGAGGTGGCTTTTAAAGATAGGGAAACAGACCCCAAGGGCAATGTGACTAACCCTTGTTGCACCTGTGACCTTGCCGGGAACAACCCGCAAATATAACTCAGCAGCCAGTTTAATTGCATGCACTTTACTGATGACTGGGGTGGTGGAGACAGCCAGGATCCGCGGGGCTCGGAGGACGAGGTCCAAGCAGGGCCGGGTGGCGATAGAATCCTCCCAGGGAAACACACGCTCTCTTCTCTCTGTTGGGCATGATAAAAATTAAGAGCATGTCCCTGTGTGTAGAATTGAGGACTGAACTCTGATCTTTTTCTTTGCCCCCAAAATTCTTTTCTAAGAGGGCCTGGTGAGTCACGCCTAACAATGATAAAATGTCAGTAAACAGGTTTTCATGATGTATTTTACTTCCCAATCTGGTTCTGGTATAGCACCGCATAAATGATAGGAGACCCTTATCTTAAGTCAAGCAGTTCCTCTCCACTGATTCCTAATCTTTCTGACAAAGCCTAACTCTTTCAGCCAGTTGTCAACTAAAGAATCCCTAATCCACCTATGATTTGTAAGCCTCCTCTTTGAGATGTCCCACCTTTTGGGGCTAAACCAATGTATGCCTTCCATGTATTGATTTATGACTTTACCTATAATTCCTGTCTCTGAAATGTATAAAACCAAACTGTTACCCAGTCACAGCAAGTCCACTTACTCAAGGCTTCTTGGGTGTGGCTCTAGGCCGTGGTCCTCAAATTTGGCTGATAATAAACCTTAAATTATATTACAGAATTTGTCTGCTTTCTGTTGACAGAATAAAAGGAATTTTAATTTTCTACATTTTTCTTTCTTGCATTTTCTAAATGTTCTACAGCAACATGTACTGTAATCAGGAAAAATGTTAATTATAAAGTCAATGATTTTATGGAACACTTGTGCATTGTGGGTGGGAATGTAAAATGGTGCAGCTGCTGTGAAAAATAGTATGATGGTTCTTCAGAAAATTAAAAATAGAATTACCATATGGTCCAGCAATTCCACTTCTGGCTATATATCCAAAAGAATTGATATATAGCCAGAGACTTGGACAGATATTTCTACACCCATGTTGACAGCAGCATTATTCATGACAACCAAAAGATGGAAACAACCTAAACATCCATCAAGGGATGAATGGATAAATAAAACATGGTGTATATGGAATCAGATAACTCAGGGTAAAAAAAACCAAAAACAAAGAGAAGTATATGTAAATTAATATCTTTTATAAAAAAAGAAATAAAAAGGAGGAAAGAAAAAAGAAAACATGGTGTATACAATGAAATATTATTCAGCCTTTAAAAGGAAGGGAATTCTGATACATGCTACAACATGAATGAATCTTGAAAGTGAAATAAGCCAGCCACAAAAGGACAAATACTATATGAGGTACCTAGTGTAGTCAAACTCATAAGACAGAGAGTATTAATAGGATGGTGGTTGCCAGGGGCTGGGGAGGGATGGGAAGTTAATGTTTATGGGTGCAGATTTTTAGTTTGGGAAGATGGAAAAAGCTCTGGAGATGGATGGTGGTGATGGTTGCACAACCATGTCAATGTACTTAATGCCACTGAACTGTACACTTAAAAATTAAGATGGTAAATTTTGTTATGTATTTTACCATGATAAGAAAAAAAAAAGAAAGCAAAGGAAGGAAGGGAGGAGAGAAGGAGGGAAGATAAGAAAGGAATGTTTTGAGTAAATACATTGAGGTTTAGTCAAATCATAGAAAGACGATTGTTTTTCAATAATCCAGGTCAACATGGAGGCAAGAAATCCAGATACACCAGTCCTCAACACTCATTAATCAGACAAAACAAATCTTCACTCATTAATTCTACCTTAGACATATAGCCCCTTTGCTCAATTATAAGTAGAGCCTGGGTGCAGTGGCTCACACTTGTAATACCAGCACTTTGGGGAGGCCGAGGCAGAAGGATTGCTTGAGGGCAGGCATTCAAGACCAGTCTGGACAACATAGTGAGACCCTAATCTTCATGAAAATTTTTTAAAAAAATTTTTAAAAATTAAAAAAAAATTTTTTTTAAAAAGTTGAGTGTGGTGTCGTGTGTGCCTGTAGTCCCAGCTACTTGGGAGGCTGAAGCAGGAAGATGGCTTGAGCCCAGGAGTTCAAAGCTGCAGTGAGCTATAATTGTGCCACTGCATTCCAGCCTGAGTGAAAGAGCAAAACTCTATCTCAAAACAAAACAAAACAAAACGAGATTTGAGCTGAAGCCTAAGGTATGTAAAGGATCCAGAGGTGGAAGGATTGGTGGAAGGAGAGGGACGTTCCAGGCAGAGGGTCCCACAAGTGCAAAGATTCCTGAAGCAGGAAAGAGCTTCTTAGCATGTTCCAGGAAACTGACAGGAGGCCAGTGAGAAGAGAGGGGGACTTCCTGTCAGGGAAAGAAGGCTGAACTTTATTCTAATGGCACTAAGAAGCCACTAAATGATTTAGGCGAGAAGTGACATGATCTCATTTTCATTGAAAAGATCACTCAGGCTGCTGGGTAAGGCCAGTTGCAGGGGTGTCAGAGGAGAGATTGCAGGCAGGAGATGTGCAGGCCAGAGGTATTGAAGGCTGGGGCCAGGGTGATGGCAGTGGGGAAGGAGGGCACAAGGATGGACCTCAGATACATTCTAGGGGTGAACCTACATCCCTTGCTGATAAATTGGACATGAGGGATGAGGGAGGAAACATGAATGTCACCTGGGTTTTTGACTGGAGTAACTAGATATTCTGTAACCATACACTGAGGTAGGAAAATCTAAGAGAGGAATAAGTTTGTGGGAGAAAACCAATAATTCTGTTTGGGGATGTGTGTCTATTATTTAACATAATGCCCATTACTTAGCTGTCCAAGCGAGATGTCAGGAAGGTAAGTTAGATATGAGTGCCACCACACCAGTGCTGTCCAGTAGGAATACAAGGGAGCTACTTCTAACATTTTAAATTTTTTAGGAGCCACATCAAAAAAGTAAAAAAAAAAAAAAAAAAAAATGCATGAAAAATTTCCACTGCTTTTTGCAGTCAGCACACTGCAGTGATGGTGTTATTAGCATATAAACCCTGTTTCCCCGAAAATAAGACAGAGTCTTTTATTTATTTTTCTGCAAGAAGACACCCTAGAGCTTATTTTCAGAGGATGTGTTATTTTCCCCTCAAAGCCTCAGCTTGCAGCACGCACAGGATGGCCGGGACCTGACAGGGGAGCGGACCTTGTTGGTGGGGCTGCCCGCACCTTTCTGGTCACCTCTGGGATAGTAGCTGTCGTCAGGATGGGACAGATGAGAAAGGCTGCTCACCTACTTTACCACTCTGTGACAAAATGCATGGGTTGTGCAGATATGCTGCTCATCACTAGGTCTTATTTTGGGGGTTGGGTTTATATTGCACAAATGCTTAGAAATCCTGTTAGGGCTTGTTTTATGGGTAGGTCTTATTTTCAGGGAAACACAGAAGATATTAGCATTGTTAGCTTACCATGGTATTTAAAATCATGGGATTAGATGAGATTATCAGAGGAACATTCAAGATTTAAGTGGGCAGTGTCATGGGAGTCAAGGGAAGAAAGTGTTGCAAGAACAAGGACATGGTTATGTCAACTAAAATAAAATTTTAAGGCTTACCCCCGCACTGGCTGACTGAATGGAACCCCTCGTGGCCAAAGGAATATCCTGAAACTAAATTGTCTGCCAGGAGGAGGGAGGTCAGACATGCCTCATCATGCCCCCTCCCCCCTCCCTTCTTGGAGACGTCCTCTGTGACCCATTGACAGGCCTAAAGGTATGCAAGACAAACCTGCAGGTCCTCATTTATACAACAAATGTATGTCTCCTGGCTTATCTCTGATAACAACTCCTTATGTTGAAACATTTAGAGCCTTTAGACAAAGCTTCATGTCTTTAACCAATTATAATCCAAAGAATCTTTAAACCCACCTGTAACCTGTAAGCCCCCCCCTTCCAGATGTCCCACCTTTTTGGGCCAAGCCAATATATGCCTCCCACGTATTGATTTATGACTTTACCTGTAACCCTTGTCTCCCTGAAATGTATAAAATGAAACTGTGACCCAGCCACAGCGAGTCCACTTGCTCAAGGCTTCTTGGGAATGGCTCTGGGTCATGGTCCTCAAATTTGGCTCAGAAGAAATCTCTTTAAAATTATTTTACAGAGTTTGGCTTTTTTCCGTTGACAGTTATTTGTATCAAATGCTGCTGGTGAGAGGTGGAGAAGGATGAACTCAGTGTAGCAACATTTGGCCTTCCTAGAGGCTGTGGGTGACCTTGACAAGAGTAGTTCAAATAGAGCGGCGCAGATGGAAGTCAGAGTGGAGTGGGTTAAAAAGAAGCTGGAGGTAAGGAAATGGACATGGTGAGTGTAGACAATTCTTTTAAGACTTTCTCTCTGAGAAGAACAGAGAAACGGGAGATGTGGAGTCTGAGGAAGAACTGGCATTTGATAGGTAACGGGAGGTAGAAGGGGACTGAGGTTCCAGGTACAGTTGTGTGTGTGGATTTAGTGGAGGAAACTTGATCAGCTTGATTGCTTCTATCATTCCAGGGGAGTAGGAGGCAGGCTGGGGCTGTGAGCATATGTATGTTTTTGAAATATTT